TCTTCCCGCTGCCACTGGAACAAGGTTACTACCAAGGGAGGAAGAGAGACTCACCCATCCTTGTGGACGATTGCACCAGCACGGCGGTAGATGTTGTCGCCCAGCTTGATGAGGTCTATCACCGGAATTCTTTCCCTGTGCCCGTCGAGATAGAAGTCACACTCATCCAGTGGACGCCTGGGGCATGCCTGAACCGCAACAGCCGCTGCCAGGAGGAAGACAGCAACCACAACGCACTGCGTCTTCATGGTTGATGTAGTTTAACTGGATGGCACTCGCTGAGGCAGAAGTACTGTGTTGTCGTCAGCTCTGGTCAAGAAGACAAGAGGATGAGATGAACGCTCTGCTTTCAGCCTGCCGGTGAGGAACACTGCCGCTTGGTCTGCTTGCACTGAGTCGCGTACGGAAGTGACTCTGTCTCGTTCTTGTTGAGATGAAGCTGCCTCAGCTGCGCCAGGCTACAATGTTCTACGACTGGTGTCTCTCTCCTTCTGAGAGCGTCTCCTTTATAGTACTCTGAATCCGCTAATTGTAAGAGTGCCAAGGGCCCAGCGACTAACCGTGCCACAGGTCCCGGGACATTGGACCCCTATAGCTTCAAAGAGAAGGGCGTTAGAAGGGCGTTACTTCTTACTGACTTTACATACCCTACCCCCTTCACCCGAATAGAACGCCCCGTCATTATAGCTGTATTTGGCACAGCTTTCAGCCCAGCCCAGATACGGTGATCATTACCGGCCGTCCTATTCAGGTGAAGACGGTAGTTCCAAGCCGACTCTTCTCAACACGAAGTTTGCAAATATTATGAGTCCCATGATATGGGACGCAACGCATTGCAGCTCAATTGAATTTCGTTTTTCTTTTACTCTTTCTTTGATTGCGTTCGTCTGTTCAGGGTCTGTATGCCAGCAGTTCATGGGTGTACCCCACTGAGCTACGCCCAGATTGGTGAGCAGCTCAGGTTAACCAGTAATACGTGATCTACGATGGCAGCCTGGACTCTGGAGTTTCTCTCAGAGGATATCAGAAAGTGCCCTGCGGCTTTTTTTTTGCCTTTCCGAATTTGGCACGTGACGTGCGTGACCCTCCGGTACGTGTCTATTTTTTTTGCTTATAAAGGAACTCGTTTCCGTTTACCGCCGTTCCGTTCATCACGTAGTTGGCTCGGAGAAAAAAAAAAAAAAAAAAAAAAAAAAAAGGAAACCGTGGGGGCATGTTACCCCAGCATGGTTGTTAGACGACCGTCACGAGGAGGCGGTGGTGTACTAGGGTCCTGTGTTGAAGGATGAGGGTGTATCGTGATCGGTGGCACTGCACTTCGAGTACACTAGTACTGGGCTTTACATGGGGGTGTCACCCGACCCAAAAAGTAGAAGCATGGATGGGGGAGGATCCTCCGTGCCCGCACACACCAAAAAACTGCGCCATTGTTTCGGCTGGGGGGTTTATGGGGGGCGCATGGGGGGTGTATGCCAACCCCTGTCTGCACCAGTAACCAGCCCCCAGTGGCACTAGGAATAACGACTTTGTGTGTTTTGCCTACAGTGGTGAAGGAGCTATACCACTGCCGAAGCAGGCATGGTTATTGTAGTATGTGAGCTGGAAATTGCTCTAAGGACACAGACGCACACCATCGTCAGGAGGAGGGGGTGGTGTAGGGTCCTGTGTTGAAGGATTGGGGGTGTATGGGTAGGCGTTTTTCCAGTTCTCTGTGGACGTAATTGCTGTCAGGTACATCCAGGCCGGGTTGGAAAAGCTGTCATATACATCCAGGAAAGTCCTAGTGTGAGCCGGGCCCTAATACTAGAATACTATGCCCTTGGTCTACACAGAGATATTGGGTTGAACTTGGGTTCGAATACGACAAAAACAAATTACTAATAGTTTTGCTTTTTTTGCCTTAGGGGCTCGTTAGACACTCCTAAAAGAATCCTAAAATTTTTAGGACGAGTCCTAAAGGTTTTTTAGGATTTCGTGCGGCGTCGTTACACGCAGTCCTAAAAATCATCTTTTAGGAATCTTCCTAAAAGGTTCCCCGCGGCCCGTTTTCATACACGTATACGCAGCCGCGCCGCCGATGTCCATCCATTCCTCGGCGGTGTCCGTGGTACAGAATGCGGTGGGCCTTGGGCCGGAGTCGACGGATCGGTGAAACGCGCGGTTCCCCAGAACTTCAAAATTTTGAATTCGAATTCTCGCGGACGCGTGCGCCGTGAAAAAGATGGCGCCTCCCTGCCGACGCGTGTGACCTGAAAAAGACGGCGCCTCCCTGCCGTTTGCCGCGCGGAATCCATCTTTCGAGTGTACGCAACTGGCGAGGAGCATGTGCATGATCGTGTGAGCCGCACGTTCGCCTCCGGCGTGCGTACCGTCCTTTGGAAGCGTGGAGCACCGGACGCGTGTCCGTCTCGCCTTTGATGCCATTGTACAGCAGCGTTGCCATCGTGGACTCCGGCGTTGTTTCTCTACGACTGCAGGGTTCCGCGGCGGGCGTGTCTGAGGCGGCTGTCGGAGGCGTGACGTGGCGAACCGTGCGAGGATGGGCAGAGATGGACAGTCATGGCTGCTCAAATGGTCTACGCGATGAAGAGATCGACGCCGTGGCGATGGCGGTGACTGCCGTTGTCGTGAACACGATGGGCGACAAGGAGTCCTCGTCGCGCGACATGCTGACGCGGCTCCGGCAACGAAAACCGCTGTTGCAGAGCGTTGCAGAGGCGCCGGATTGCGCGGCGACGTGTGAGGCGGTCGTCCAGTTGTGTGCCGCGGTGACGTCTGGCGTTTTCCGGCGGCAGACTCCGCGATGGTGGATCAAACGACGGACTGGCGGGACATGGGAGGACCTCCGGCTTCGGGACGACGCGACGGACGAGTACTTCCGGCAGAAGCTGCGCATGTCGACGGCCATATTCAACCACATCGTAGCCGCGTGCGCCGCGTACATGGAGAAGAAGGTGACGCACTATCGAATGCCATTGCCAGTGGAGCAGCTGATTGCTTTCGCGTTATACAGGTGGGCGTCCGGAGAGACGTACGAGAGCGGCACGTCAGCATTTGGCATCGGCAGGGCAACTGGACTGCAGGCCGTCCGCGACGTCACTTCGGCGCTGTTGCAGGCGTACCCCGACGCGATAAAGTGGCTAATGGGCAGGAGACGTGCGCAGATTCTGCGCGCTTTCCGTGAGAAGGGTTTCCCAAACTGCTTCGGCGCTATCGACTGTACATACATCTACATTGACAAGCCCGCCGACGCACCTTCCGAGAACTACTATGACCGCAAACAGAAGTTCTCCGTGCAGGCGCAGGTGGTTGTGGATTTGGGTTTGCGGATCCTCGACGTCCACGTGGGATACCCTGGAAGTGTGCACGATGTCCGTGTCCTGCACAATTCCCAGTTGTTTAGGCGTGCAGAAAGTGGTGAGCTGTTCGACGCAACTCCGGAGAATTTGCCGCAGGTGTCGTCATTTGAGGCTACCTGCTGGGCGACAACGGTTATCCAGTTGCCTGTCCGTGGATTGTGTCGCCGTACGGAGGAATCGACCAAGGTGCTGACAGGGAGCGCTTCGACACGCGGAAAAAGGTGGCACCAGGGGTGTGTGGAGAGGGCATTCGACCGACTCAAGTGCATGTGGCGTCTGTTCTTGCGCACCCATAAGATGAACCTAGAGACCTTTCAACACCTGCAACAGCCACACCAGCGGCACCTGCCGCCTCCCCTCGTGCTGCACGCGCATCTGCCACGACTCCCCCCCCACCACCTCGTTGGCGAGATGCACCGTCACCACCGTCGTTGCGCTGATGCGGCTGAGACGGCGCGCAAGGCAGTGCACCTGTGATCGGCCTTTCGTCGTCCGTAGCGCGAGCCGTCGACACCGCCACTGTGGTCGCTTGTGTCGCACTGCGCAGGCGACGTCTCTCCAAAGGCTCGTCGTCTTCGCCGCCAAGGTCCACCACGACACCCCTCTCTTTCCACGTTTCGCGGACACGCAGCTGCTGCGCCTTCGGCGGAGGGGTTGACATGCTCTTCGAAGCGCTCTGATCCGGAGTACGTTGCCTGGCACTCTCCCGTCCTGCAGACGCCGTCGCCTCGCGTTGATCGTCCTCCGTCATAAAATCATCGTCGTTGTCCTCTTCCGCCGGCTGCGACCAACCTCGCGCACCACGACACGGCACGCTTGCTGATGCATCATCCAAACGCAGCCTCTTCGCCTTCGGGACATACCGACGACCTTTCCCCTGGGCTTGGGTTTCGTCAAGCGCGACGTCGCGCTTCTTGCCACGGGCGTTCAATCGCGCAGACATGCTTGCTGGGGACCCCCACAAGCGATCTCCATGTAGCACTCGACTGACGTGTGCTGTTTCGTCGAAAAAGATGTCACCCGTCTCTTGCCAGCCTGGCCAGACAGGCTATCCCGACGACGTTGAAGATGTGTCCTCCGCTGCAGGATGACGATGACGCCCAAGCGCACTACGGAAGGATGATGTCCCCGGCGACACTTGTCCGTCGCGATGGCGGGAGTGCTCCGCGGCGAGAAGCCTGACTTCCAGAAGAGCGGAAGCGATGACGGTGATAAGCGTTGTGGCACTGCAGATGCGCGGCGGGAAGTGTGCAGCTGGCCCGGCGAGTAATCGTTGTGGCACTGCAGATGCGCGTCGGGAACCTTGTAGCGTGCCAGGTGCGCACTTCTCGCCGCGCATATACAGTGAAATGACAGTAGCAGAAGGACCGTCCACGACGTCGCGTCCTCTTGGCGGGAAAACGAAACGACGACGGCTAGACATGCTACCGCCATGCCTGTCCAGCCCTGTCATTATCAACCTCCCGAAGTCGCGATAAGGCCCTTCCACGTTCGGTCGACGCGCGCAAATGCAC